GCTGCTATATGGTTGCTGGGAATTGAATCCAGGTCCTCTGCAAGAGCAGCTAGTACTCTTGACTGCTGAGCCATCTCTCCAGCCCTTTTATTTCCTTAATAGTTATTCTAGTATGTGGTTAATGTCTTAAAGTTTGAATCACTACCAATTTAGTCTTTTTTTTTTTTTTTTTTTTTTTAATCTGTTCTTGATGCAGGACCTTTCCAAAAGCCACCCCTATTCCTTAGAGGATGGCTGAGTCCACACTGGGGAGGTGACAGTATTGCTTCTGTGTAAATTGTGTACTGCAAAAAAATTTTTTAATCTTTTACCTTAATACTTGTTTTTTTGTTTTGTTTTGGTTTTATTTTTGAATGGTCAGCCATCATGACCCTTCTTCCCCCTCTCCTCCCCGCCCCCCCCCCCTGAACTTGATGTATGAAGACGTTGTCTCCCTAGGAGTGAGTTGAGACAGCCAGGGCTTCCCTGTGCACTGACTTGAGGCCAGTTTAATAAAGTGCACACCTTACAAATAAACAAAATCTGATCTTGTATAGACTCATCTGTGTATTATTACTATTAAAAGTTGCATCCTGGGACTGGGATATAGCATAATTGGTAGAGTGCTTCCTTAGCATGCATGAAAGCCAGGGTTCTATTCCTAGGGCTGTATAAACCTGGTGTGATGGCACATGCCTATAATCCCTACACATATGTCAGAGTCCAGAAGAGGGCATCAGGTGTCTTCTATCAGTCTGCCTATTCCCTTTGAGTCAGGGTCCCTTCCTGAACCCAGAGCTTATATGTTGTGACCCAGATAGGCCAGCAAGCCCCATTGATCTTCCTGTCTCTGTTCCCCTTGGAACTAGAATTGCATGTGGATGTCAGCTTGTTACATGGGTGCTGGGATCCAAACTCTAGTCTTTGTGCTCATGTAGCAAGTGTTCTCAACCACTGAAATATCTAAATAATATTCTGCTGCTATCTCTCTATTCTTCAGGAACGCCAATTGTGTGCATGTTGGTTTACATGATACTTGTTGATGTACCCGTAAGTCCCCTGAGCTCTGTTCCCCTTTCTTTATCTTTACTTTCTAGTCTTCATGTTAGATATATACTGTAGCCTTGTCTTCAAGTTCAGTTTCTATTGCAGGATATTTGATCACACTGTGAACTCTGAGATTGCATTAGTTGCTGGAAAAAACCTGTTTCTAGTTGTGTGGCTCAGCCCTAGCACACACCCTTAATCCAAGAACTTTCTGCTTCAATATTGTAAATGGGATTAAACAAAGTCAACCGTAGGTCGAGAGGTGGAGCAGGCAACCATTTGACAGGAAGCGGACATAGGATTATTAAGAAAAAACCACAGAGAGTAAGAGGGAGTCAGGAGGATAGATTAGATGCCCAAGAAGTAGAAGGGAGGAACATTTTAGTTTGAGGAGGTTTTTGAGACTGCGCAGGAGAAGGAGGCGACTTCTGGGATGTCAGCGAAGGAGAAAGGTCAGTTGGGAGCTGTCTCTGATCTAGAGGCGTTGACCCCAACATCTATCTGGCTCCCAAGTCTTTTTGGTAAAATCCAATGAGTGAGATTTTATTAAAACAAGTTTCTTCTGACAGTTCAACTCTTTTTCATTTCAGTTAGTATACTTTTTCACAACCAGGATTTCTATTTAATTCCTTTTTATAATTTCTTTCACTGGGATGGGAGATACTGAGGGTTGAATTCAGAGTCTGTGCATGCTAGGCAAATGCTGTGCCACTGAGCTATTCCAGCCCCATATCATAAATAATTTATAATGGTTTTAGACAGCCTCCCTCCCCCACATACACACACACACACACACACACACACACACACACACACACACACACACACTCCATGTTGGCTCAAACACCACAAATGCTTAACAAGTGTTTCTACTCTTAAATTACATCCATCCATGGTTTCTAATGATAAGTTACTGTCAAATTGTTACTTCCTTATATGTGAAGAATAACCCCCCCTCCCTCTTGCTATTTTTAAGGTTCTTGCTATTTTTGATGTTTTCTGTCTTTGGCTTTCCTTACCAATTTATGACTTGTTTAGATGTGATTTTTGTAAGAATGGACCCCATTTGCATGCTTAGTTCTCAGTTGATGAACTATTTGGAAAGGATTAGATGTGGCCTTGTTGGAGACTTGTCCCTTTGGGTGAATCTTGAGATTTCAAAAGCCAGGTCCTTCCTCCCTCCCTCCCTCCCTCCCTCCCTCCCTCCCTCCCTCTCTCTCTCTCTCTCTCTCTCTTCCCCTCCCTCCCCCTCCCTCCCCCCCCTCTGTGTCTGTCTGTCTGTCTCTGTCTTCCTGCCTGCCTCCCTGCTTATGGATCAGGATGTAAGGCTCTCAATTACTGCTTTAGGGCCATGCCTGTCTTTTTTCTGCCATGATGATAATGGACTAACCTTCTGACACTGTAAGCACATCCCCAATTAAATGCTTTCTTTTTTTTTTAAGAGTTGTTTTTGGTCATGGTGTCTCTTCACAGCAATAGAACAGTAGCCAACACAGTAAGTTTCTTGAATTTGTAGACTTGTGTTTTGTTTTACCAAATACCAGTGGGTTTGTTTAGTTGGTTGGTTGGTTTGGTTTTTCAAGAAAGGGTTTCTCTATGTAGCCCCAGATGTCCTGGAACTCACACTGTAGTCTTGAACTCAAAGATCCACCTGCCTCTGCCTCCTAGTGCTGAGATTAAAGGTATGTGCCACTTATGGATCTGCTTTGAAGTCTGCTAAACTTAACCTCTGGACCAACTCTAGTTCCAGAGACTCCAATACCCTCTTCTGGTCTCCAAGGCCACTGCACACATGTGGTATACATGGAGAGAAGCAGCCACATGTACATAAATTAAAATTAAGTAAAACTTTAAAAATGAAGGATAAATTTTTGTAGCTAAATCTTTGCAAACACTATTACTTCCTCAAAATCCTTTCTTACAAGCACTTAATGGATTTAAAAAAAAAAAAAAAAAAAAAAAAAAAAGTATACTTCTGGAACATCTATTCCAAATAATCCAAAATCTGAAATGTCCAAAGTCTAAAACTTTTTTTTTCTTTTAATTTTGTGTGTGCAAGCAAAGGAGGGCATTGAGTATCCTCTCTCACTTCTTATTCTCCTGAGACATGGTCTTTCAGCCAGGAACGCTCAGGTTTTTGGATAGCAAGTCCCAGCAATCCTCCTGTCTCTGTCTTCTGCCAAGCAACTGGGTTCTAGGCATTCAGGTCCACATCCACTTTTTTATGTGGACACTAGGGCTTTAAACTTGAGTCCTCACACTCACACAGTGAGTACTCTTACCCACTGAGCCAGCATCCTCGCCCCTTCAGATCCAAAGCTTCTTGCACACTGATATAATACTACTAATATTTTTTAAAAAATAGAAATTGGAAACACTTCTGATCCTAAGCATGTTTTGTTGTTGTTTTTCTTGTTATTGTTGTTTTTTTATGTGTATGAATGTTTTGCCTGCTCGAATGTCTATGAACCACATGCATGCCTGGTAACTGCAAAGGCCCAAAGAGGGTATCAGATCATCTGGAATTGGAATTACCGATGGCTATGAGGCACCATGTGGGTGCTAGGAATTGAACCCGAGTCCTCTGTAAGACCAGCTGGTGTTCTTAATTGTTGAGCCATTTCTTCAGTCCCCTTTAAAAATACTTATTTCATATGGAGGCATGCAAGTACCACTGTGAGAGCATGGAATCAGAGGACAGCTCGTGGGAATCCAATCTTTCCTTCTATCATCTGAGTCCCAGGGATCAAACTCAGAATAAACCCTTTGAACATGTCCTTTTGGGTCCCAGTTCTCAGTTGAACAGGACTTTGTAGCCAGTCTTTACTGTACTTTGTCAGCACAGTTTTAAGCTGTTGATGCCATTTAGCTGTGTGTCTAAGATAGTTGGTGTGAGAAGGCACTTCCTGGAATCCTGGCCGAGCATGTGGTTGCAGAGGCTGTAGGAGTGAGCTATGGCAAGTTCTGACCTTTTCTCTGTTCCATCTCCCTCTTTTTTCCTGCCCACCCATTACTGCTCATGAAGAACCCCCGAGCTATCCTGGAGTGAATCCCCTCAGCTGTTCTTTCAGAGTTAAAACAACTTCCTGTCTGAAATGATGTAGTGGTAGTTGGTGGCTAGCTTTTTTCATGCCTTTATTTGGCAAAGTTCATGATTGCAATCTTCTGTGTCTCCACATTTCCTCTTTATTTTCTGTCAGGTTTGGTTTTGGTTTTAATTTTACAGGTGCACTGATACATAAGAGACACGGCACCATTGTTGTAACTAAGTCTTGTAGTTTGTATTTCAGTTTTTGAGAAAGGATCTCTCCATGTAGCCCAGGGTGGTCTCAAACTCATGACTACCCTGCCTTGGGCTTCCAAGTGCCCATGCCCAGAGAGGACTCATTGTTTCCCAATTCCTAACAAACACATCTGCCTTGAATATTAGTGTCGAGAGCATCGTGTTTGGTGAGCTGTGAACTATAGTCACAATGCTGTCTGCCACAGTATCACCCTAACCTAGAAAGCTGATAGAAACACAAGCCATCTCCCCAAAGTAGCCCTGTGTGTCCTAAGAGAGAAAATTCCAGTGTGTATTTTAGAGTATATGTATGTATGTGGGTATATTCTATGCATTTATATGCATGTGTACATGTGTGTTTAGTGTGCATAGTTATATGGTAGTATGTGCATGCATGTATGTGACAGATATTGTATATATGGATATGTAGGTATATATGTGCATAAATATGTGTGTGTATATGCATGAGAGAGTATGTGAGTGGGAGTATATGAACATGTATGTATGTATATGAGAGAGAAGTAACTCCATAGGTATGAAAGTGTAGATGTTTTTGCTGGTGTGCCTATCTTGGCTTCTTGAATTCCACTCCATTATAGGCAGTGCCCTGTTGATGGTCTTTGTGATTCTGGGCTTACTTGCTCCTAGAGGGCCATGTCTAAGCCACTGTTTTCTGTGTTTACATGTACAGGTTTTCCCATGGGCAGGTGGTCTCTGTGGATGAGTTGCGTCCTTTCCAGGATCCAGACTTGAGCTTACTGCAGACTGGCTCTGCATGTCTGGCCAAGCACCAGGATGGCCTTTGGCACCCAGCACGGATCACTGGTGAGACTGCCCACAAGGACTTACCTGATGGGACCCTTTTTGAAACTCTTTTTCTTATAGCCATTCTCTACCTCCTCTGGGTTGGGCTTTGACTTCGTCTAGGCCCAAGAGGAACAAGTCTGTCTTTGTCCCAAGCCCCTTCCCTTCCTGTCTCTCCCTTTGCTCCTAACTGGTTGCCCAACCTGTAAAGTTGTTAACCTACAGCCTGTCTCTATCACCTTAGATGTGGACAATGGCTACTATACTGTTAAGTTTGACTCACTGCTGCTGAAGGAGGCTGTGGTAGAGGGGGACAGTATCCTGCCTCCCCTGCGCACCGAGGCTACAGAGTCATCTGACTCAGACAGTGGTGATGCAGCTGACTCCAGCTATGCCAGAGGTATGGCAGGGACCAGTGCCCAGAAGCCAGGATGGTGAGGGAATAGCTTAGACAGACAGGCATCCAGTATTTTAGCATAGTAATCACAGGAGAGGGCCTGAGGAACCAGAGAGTGTGTGATAGCCCCGGGTAAGACTCGAGACCTAGCTTTTGCCTTTAAGAAACAGATATAACAATCAGTCAGAACTCCCTGAAGCAAGATGACACCACACTGCCAGAGAGAAGGGAATGTTGGTGCTAGATCTGCCAAAGAGTCACACTGAATGTAGAGTTTTGGAAAGGGTGGCTTCCCAGATCTAGAGCTTGGGTGCCTGGTAGATAGCGCAGACGAGATCTTGGCAGATGGAAAATGTGTCTAGGTAAAGTAGAGAGTCCAGGAAATGAAACTAGGTAATATATAATCCTCGGAGAGATTGGTTAGAAAGAAGATAGGAAGGTGTCTCAGGGACCTGCGATGTGAATTGGTAGTTTTTGAGCTCCTATCCCTGGGGGCATATATATAGTAAGCTGAAGCAGTGAAGTTGGTTACAGTACAGCTATCTCTCAAGGCAGAGTTGCCAGGAGTGCCCACAGCATTCTTGGGGGGACCTGAGGGGACCAGAATTCCAGGAGATGAGGCCCTACCTAGGAACTGAGTTCTTAGGTAGCATTAGCTAGAACCCACTACTTGGAGTCCCCTTGTTTCCTGCAGTGGTGGAACCAAACGCCGAGAACACTGGGACCTGCAGTTCTGCCTTCGCTGGTTGGGAGGTGCACACACGGGGCATTGGCTCCAAACTCCTCCTCAAGATGGGCTATGAGTTTGGCAAGGGTGAGCGAGTGCTGCCCCGAGATGGGAGGGCTGCCCCAACATAGCCCACGAGTCTGGCAGATATAGCACAAGGCCCTGTCTTTCCCAGGTCTGGGGCGGCATGCAGAGGGCCGAGTGGAGCCCATCCATGCCGTAGTGTTGCCTAGAGGGAAATCACTGGACCAGTGCACAGAGATACTACAGAAGAAGGCAAAGGGAGGCCAGGCTGGGACCAATAGGCCTCCAAGATGTCGGAGGAGTGGTGGTAGACCCGAGGGCCGCCCACCCCCTCGGAATGTGTTTGACTTTCTCAATGAAAAACTGCAAAGCCAGGCATCTGGGACTCCAGATGCTGGGGTGGACACTCCAGGGAAAAGGAACAAGGACATGTATCATGCCAGCAAAAGTGCCAAACAGGCTCTGAGTCTGCAGCTCTTCCAGACTGAGGAGAAGATTGAGCGGACCCAACGGGACATCCGGGGCATCCAGGAGGCCCTAACCCGGAATGCTGGCCGGTATGTGTGGGGTCCAGCTGAGGCAGAGTGTGGGCTCCAGTGGCTATCCCCGCAGGATACCTGCTAAAGGTCACCTGATCTCAGTCAGGTCACCTGAGTCTGAGGTGGTCTGAATATTGGAGAATGGGCATTGGGCCACAGCAGCTAGGGGCCTGGTAGTGGGAGCCAGAGATAATGCTGACCAGCAGGCTCTCCCTAGGCACAGCATGGCAACAGCCCATCTTCAGGAGAAGCTGGAGGGAGCCCAGCGGAAGCTGGGTCAGCTGCGTGCTCAGGAAGCTGGCCTACAGAGGGAGCAGCGGAAGGCAGACACCCACAGGAAGATGACGGAGTTCTAGCAGCCCTGCCTGTGTTGTGGACAGAGCCCTGGAACCAACTCCAAACTGCCTTGGCACAGAGACAGCTGTCACCCTGACACCTAAACAGCACATGGAAGAGGGGCCAGCCCATTCCTAGGCTGTCCCTTATTGAGCCTTGTCAGCCTAAAGTGTATGAGTGCTACTGAGCACGCATGGGGCGTCAGGGTTGGTGTTTGAACGCTTTCTTGCCCATCTACTGGTGTCTTGGGTTATCTCCTTAGAGAGGACATTAAAATGGTTTCATCATTTCTCTCACTGGAGACTAAACTGGCTTCAGGATCTCTGGGGACAAATGAATCTGTGTAGGTCCTGGCAACAGACAGGTGGGCTGGGAACAGGTGGGGGGATCCCCAAATGAGGCCACTGCCTCTGTCCAAGACCCAAGAGTCCAAAGGAGGAGCATTTCCTTCTCCCTTCTCTGACCAAGTGGGTAAGACCTTAGGGTGGCCCTTCAGTGCCCAGTACTCACAAACAGGTGGGCTTGATGAGGAGGAAACACCTTTGGGGACACAATCGGTGATGAAAGCAGGCAGGCCTGACTCGGGGGGGTTTGGGGTTCATTTCTGGTTTTTGGTTGCCACTGATAATCCATCCAGTTGACCTGTGTCCACCTCATTTATGAGTATCTGCCTCATTGGGGTGGAGTTTTGTGATAATTGCCTGTTGATGGCAAATAACCATGATGGGACGTGAGGAGGTGAGCAGACTGTGAGAGCGACTGTGTAAGAGCTGTGCGGCTGCTGGGAGGTGCTCTGAGAGACACAGGAAGTGAGGTGGGGAGCTCACCAGCAGCCCACAAAGACCTTCCTGGCTGTCCTAGACCGGGCCAAGCAGCAACCCCACAGTGGCCTTGGTGAGTGCCTGCCCCAACCTCCATCCTGAGCCAGTCCCCAAGCCTCTCCATGTCCCGGGGTCCGGGAGGGACAGGGCCTGCCTGATCAGCCCATTGGGACTTGGCTGTAGCCAGGTTAGTCAACTTGGGCCCCCTCTGTGCGAGATGTCTACACCCCAAGCTTGAACAGACAGGCCCCCACACTGTTCACCTTCATTTTGCTCACCTCTTGCTCAGCTCTTCTAAGGGCAACTCCAGGAAAAGCAGGGACCCTGGGAAGGGAGGAGTAGGGCGGGCAGGGACACTTTGCCTTCATAACAGCTCCTCCTGTTCAGTGACCCTCTCCACTCCCAGCTGCTTAGCTTCTGTGGTGAGTAGTCCAAGAACATCACCTGACACAAGGGGTCACTCCTGGGCAGTGGCTGGAGCTGTGGTCTGTGGTCAAAGTCAGAGTGATATCAGAGATTTCCCTCCAGGTAATGGGTTTGAGCCAGTGTAGCCTTGGTAGGGTCATGGCTGCCCTGGCCGTGCTCTTCCATCTCCACAGCCATCTCTGATAACTGAAGGAGTAGGCAGGGCCTCACCTTTTTACCAGAAACCCTAGCTAGAGAAGAAAAGGTGGGTGCCTGTGGGGAGGGCAGAAACACAAGGCCTGGGGGTTTCCGGTGTGCTGAGTCAACCAGGGAGGAAGAACCCACCATCTGGGCACGATCTGCAAACAACTGCAGGTGTGCACTGGTCCCTCAATCAGCCCCCAGCACTCATCTCTTCTGTCCCCAGGTCCCCTTTCCTGCTTTACAAGATGAGGCCACCAGTGCCTTCAGCACCACTAGCCCTCCTGGTCCTGGGGTTCTTCTCCCTGCTCCTCTGGCTGTGGGCACTGTGCACAGCCTGTCACAGGTATGTGCCTGGGTTCTGTCTGCCCTCACCATGCATGGCTCAGAGTCAGACGTCACAACAGAGAAGTCCACGTGAGGGTTCTGCGTGTGCCTCTACACTGAGCCTGGGCCAGCATCTCTCTGATCACCCCTGCGCCCTCCTCTGCCTACTGGACTAATGGCACTCTTGCCCCCAGGAAGCGGGCTCAAAGGCAACAAACTGGGCTGCAGGGCAGTCTGATACCAGTGGAAATGGTGAGTGCCAGACTGTCCCTGGGGTCAGGGCAGGGACAGCAGGGAGTCAACCAGCCTTCCTTGCCCCTAGTCACTGCTGAGACAGACCCACCTCTGCTCCCTCAGCAAGTCTGACACAAGATTGCACGAGCTTCACCAAGGCACACGCCGCAGCATAGGTGAGCTCCTGGGAGGCCATTCATGTAGGGCTGGCCCACTGGGGCCAGTCCTGTTGCCTTGGCCCCTCAGTGACCTCTGCCTTGATCTTATCCCTAGCCCCACGGCCTGCTAGCATGGATCTCCTGCATCCACACTGGCTGGAGGTATCCAGGGGCAGCACCAGGTCTCAGGTAACCCCCTCTGCCTTCCCACCTCGGCAGCTGCCCAGGGCCCCCCCTGCTGCCCCTGCAACTGTACCTTCTACTAGCCCTGAGGCCACTTATTCCAATGTGGGGCTGGCTGCAATTCCCAGGGCCAGCCTGGCTGCTAGCCCTGTGGTGTGGGCTGGAACACAGCTGACCATTAGCTGTGCGAAGCTTGGGCCTGGGGCCGAGTATGCCTGCATCCAGAAGCACAAAGAGACAGAGCAGGGCTACCAAGAATCACAGCAGAAGGCCAAGATGATCCCAGCTCCTCAGGTAAAGTGAACCTGGGTGGGGTAGGGTAGGGTAAAGTAGGGTAAGGTAGGGTAGGGTAGGGTAGGGTAGGGTAGGGTAGGGTAGGGTAGGGTAGGGTAGGCAGGAATGAGCCCACCCTTGGCAGAGGACAATGCCGAGCCCTCCCTCGGTTTGCTTCCTCTCTCCAGATGGATCTCCTGTACTCCAGGGTCTGCAAGCCTAAAAGGAGAGAACCAAGACCTGTCACAGATCAGCCAGACCCCCAGGGTGGGAGAGCAGTTCTGGCCCTGGCCCTTGAGAGTGATGTGGAGTATGAGGCCATCACTCCCAGGGGCCAGGATGTCAACCAAGATCCCTTAGAAAATGTATATGAAAGCATCAGGGAGGTGGGCCCCTGAGCAGTCGAGGCTTCACATCCTGTTTATTAACATGCATTGACATAGTAAGGGTACCAAGGCTTCTGCCTCGGCAGGGTCTGATTGCAGATCCCTCTGTGTCCTTCCACCCCCACAGCTGACAGCACAAATTTCAGGTTCAGTCCTTGTGGCCTAATTAAATCTCTGTCACATAAAGTTGGCTCTCGTTGCTTTTTTTGAAAGCTGGAAAGGTTGGAGTGGGAATTTTCCGGGAGGGTTATAGATGTCCCTTTCTGATCTTTGGGAGAGTTTCTTCATATCTGGTCCCTGGCCCCTGAGGCCATGACCTGGTTGTCAGACTCAGATGTCAGTGGGCAGGAAAAATGGCAAACAAGCCTTTTGCTGTGGTGGTTTCCCAGGCTGGAGGGTCTGGGACAGCGTGGTCAGTTGGAAGAGTGGGACCTGGGCCCCCAGATCCTCCAGGAGCCTCTGCCACCATCCCTTGAGATTACATAAGTAGGCAGAGGTAGACAGTCTGGCATTAAAGAATCTGCTCCCAGGAGGCGGGCCAAGAAGGTGCAACCCCTTCCTAGCTCTAATAGCTCATGCACCGAGTCCTGGGGGAAGGGAGGTGAGAACCAGTCCTCCTGTTGCAGGATGCTCAGCACGTCCTTGGAGTAGAGGCTGTCAGCTGGAGTAGCTGAGCAGCCTCTCCACTAGCCAGAGTTGGAGCACCCTGCCAGGGGCGTGACAGGGTGAAGCACAAACCATTTGGGATATTTGCCATGTGTGAGCCAATGAACATGCGCACTGGGGCGGAACTCGTAGGGGGTGTAGTCAGGCAGCTTAGGGTGCCACAGGGCAGAGGCCAGATCCTAGGTAGGGGTCGACCTGCCTAGCCCCAGCCTGGTACCAGAGTCCAGCCTTCTGTAACAGGCTTCTGGATGGCCATGGAGGCTGAGCACCCACCCATCCCCAACTGGGTCGGATCTGCACAAACATGACCCGTCCCCGCTCTGAGGGTCGGGACCTAGTGTTCATAGCCTCCCCAGATCCCAGTGGGCTGCAGATCACTACCTGGGGCCTGAGTCACAGAGCGCCATGCCGGTTACAGTGCCCACGCCACTACAGGCACCGGTGGGCAGGGGCACTGCCAAAGTTTCTTTCCCTGCAAAGATGGCATTGGGACCTCAAAAACTTTGGGCTCTGAAGGCACGGCAGCTGGGAGTGCTGAGTCGGTCTGTGTATGTGTGCGCGTGTGCAGGTGTCAGTGAGTAGTGCACCCCCCCCCCAAGCTGAGGCCAAGCATTTGCTTCCTGCCACCAGAGCAGGGGGCAGGATTAGGGTGGGGCCATGTGGTCCACAAAAACTGTGGTGTGGGAATTGGGCAGCAAGTAGATTTGAGGTGGAGTCTGGGGTCCCCAGGCCAACTCCTCCACGGAGCCTCCATCTCCACCCCATTTTCAGGGCCCTTCTATAGGTGGCAGCCTTGCAGGCTTGGGAGTCTCAAAGCCACAAGAACCTCAAGGCTGTGGACCCAGGAGCCTCAGGAACCAAGCCTCGCTCCCAATGGCTTCTATGCACATCCCAGTGACAGTAAAAGGGTGAGGTAGGGACTAGTGCCCCAAGACTAGGAGTGTGAGTGAGTGTGTGTGTGTGTGTGTGTGTGTGTGTGTGTGTGTGTGTGTACCAGTGTGTCCTGGAAGGGTGGGTGCGTGCTGGCACAGATGTCATCTTTTGAAGGCTTCGGTGGAGAATGAGTCAGAGACCCACCCTGACTATCTAGGAGTCTCTGGGCCCCTGACCCCCACTTCCCAACTTGCCAGCCCATGGGGCCTGGGGACTTGCCTGTGCTTAGAGCACAGTCTCCTTAACCACTGCCAAAGGCTTGCTGCTCCACCCTCCTAGACCTGGCTCTTGGCCCACAGTTGCTATTTCACATCCGTGGTTAATGTGTGATAGCGGGAAGAGCTGAGCCATAGTTGGCCTCACCCCTTATGGTGGGCCTTCAGACATCTGCTCAGCACCAGGATCTGAAGGAGCCTTTGTGGAACAAAGCCCAAGTTATGGAGAACTCAGGCCTTTTGCGAATCCCCATCCTGTTCTATGGTTCCTGGATTTTCAGCTCTGCAACCAGAGATGGGGTGGAACCATCTCCTATCCAGACCCCCTATCCAGAACTTGGAGTGAGACGGCCTGATGCCCACACTGCTGGACCATGGGGGAGGCGGGCCTAGAGCACCGACCTCATCTCCAGAATACCCAATACCCCCAGGAAAAGCCCAGCTGGAAGAGGTCATGGCTCCTGCAGCCCTTACAAGCCTATCTACCAGCCCCCCTTTATCTGGGGGCCCCAGCTGCAACCTTCAGCCCAGGTGAGACTCAAACTTATGTTCAAGTATGGGCAGGGTCCAGAACTTCTGTCATTCCACAATACTGAAACCACCAAGCCTCTATGGGGCAAGCAGTGTCCCATACCTAACACGTCACCTTCTAAGCTTGCCTCAAGGTCTCTTAAGAAACCCCTCACCGAGGCCAAAACTCTACCTCCACTTTGCCATGTTGCTTCCTGGCCATGCCAAGCACCCCTACCTTTCCTTTCCTGTTAGGGGAGCTTCTCTCCCAGTCTGAGGTCAAATTCTCTTAGTTGTCTATCCCTACCCCACAAGGCTCACCTGAACAGGTGGCAACTCACAATCAGGGACTTGGAGAGAGCCAGCAGGCAGCAGCTTCTGCAAAGCAGCTTAAGCCTTCCAAGCTCCCGAGAGGCGTGTCCCTGCAGAGTCTGGCTTGGAGCTCTGGAAGGAAGCCTTTGGTCATCATCTTTCAGGCTGCTAGAGCAGCAGCAGCAACCGTGGAGATGGGCTGGGACCTGGTCAGCCATCAGTCATCTCCATCATCCCTGCAGCAACTCACTTTTTGTTGTAGGGAGGAGGCCACCCTACAAAAAAGGAAGGTAAGCGTGGGGAAAGCCCCTCCAGAGGCGGGCTGCACAGGGTGGCTACTGTTCACCCAGGCCACTGTCACTCAAGGCCTCTATTCAATTCATGTTCCAGTGCCTGTGGAAGAGCTGTGGGAAGGTGCTGAGCACAGCGCTGGAGATGCAGAGACACGCCCACCTGGTGCACCTGGGGTGCAGTGGGACTGAGGGCTTGGCCAGGGTGGAGTCAGGCCTGGCCAGAACTTAAGCTCTCACCTCTCTGTTCTTGGCAGGAGACAGGCAGAGCCAGAGAAGAGTGATCGGGAGGACTTTTACAACACAGAGCTGGATGTTGATGTGGACATGGTGACTGACAGGTTGTCCAGCCCTGTGTCTCCTACAGCTTCCATGCCAGTCACCCACCGCTCCTCATGTGGGGCTCCCAGAGCTGCTGGAGCCCCCAGTTCTTCTCAACCTGCTACAGTCCCTAACTTTGTTTCCACCTCCCATGCTCAGCTCTACAGCTAGCTATCCCACAGGTATGCATGCCACAGTGGCCAAGCCTCCACATGTGGAGATTGGGGGCAGGTCTCAGAGCACTCTAGAGAGAAACAGCATAGGGCTGTGGCTCCTTCCAGAGCTGCCTGGCCCCCATCCACCTGGAGCCACAGCCCCGCCCTGCCTGCCAAGCTTGGGGTCAACCTGAGGTATGTGCAGGTCGAGGGACTCTCCATGCTCCCTGCACGTCCCCTCCAGGAAGCCCCAGGGTGATGCCAAGAAGAGCTGGCAAGTGTACGGCATGGACCATGGGGAACTGTAGCACAACGCCTGCTGCAGGACAAAAGCCTGCCAGCAGTTTCCGGCCTGAGCCCATCCATGCTGCTGCTGCTGGCTGCTCTCTCACACCCAGCCTGAAACTACAGCAAACCTGGACTCCTAGAGGTGGATGAATAGCTGACCACTGAAAATGCCTTGGAGGGAAGCAGCCTTTTGCACTAAAGCCAAACTGCATGTTGTCCTTTTGGCCCCCGGGGCAGCTTGCCTCCCTGCCCACCACTCAGACTTGTCAAAGATGTCAGTGGGCTCTGTTAGAGCCTGTGTCAGTTGTTCACCTCTAGAGGGGTGTCAGAGAGAGTACTGTCCAGGTCCCCCTGGGGCTGACATTTTATCATGTTAATGAAGCTCTGGTGTTTTGTGTCTGGGAGAAAAATATTAAACTGTGGGGCTTGTTTGCTTGTTTATTTTCCCAGAAACCAATGTTACTTCCTGGGGAAGGAAACAGATCTAGGAGGGTAATGGGAAATGAATGATAAGCAATAGCAGCTGGCAGCTACCTCCATTCAGGTTGAGGTCCAGGGAAGGGTACTGTTTGAAACCACACAGGAGGCATCCGCATGGAGCAGCAAGTTCCCATTTTATTTAAAGTGATTGCTTTGCAAGAATGTCTACACTAATCCCATCACAGAAAGAAAACTCACAGGCAACCTGGGGCACACCTAGGCAGACAAGAAATTGCATGAACCACTATAGAGAAGGTAATCTTTACTTGTCTGTGGCTACAGAGAATCAGGACAACAGAGCTGTGAATCTCACCAACTGATTATGACAAACCTTCTGCAAATATTAAACACATCTTCAGTACAAACACAGGTTTATAATAATTAATATAAAGTCAATATAATATAGATTATCCCCAGGGGAAAAAAAATCAACAATCTTCAAACACTCCTTTTTTTTTTTTTTTTTTTTACTTTTTGTTGACAAGATTGAAAGCATATTGAAAAAAATAAATATTTAAGAAAAGCACACACACAGCACCCTCACTACAAGTGATTCTAAAAGAGCCACATACAAAACACAATAGGATCTAAAAAATAATATCACCATTAAGTATGGCTTTCTTAGGAGTTGGAGTTGTACATGTCATAGAATGAGCCAAAGTTAAGATTATCCTTTATAATATTGCAAAAAAATTCCAGTTTTGCATTTTTCTCAGGTTTTGTCTTGTTGTTTGTTTCTAAAGGAAGATGTGCAAAATTGTAAGCATAGCTGTGTCTTTTGAATTAGGTCCCTGTCAAATCCTAGCAGTGTCCTGTTCCCCAAAACTCAGAGTTCAAATACGCAAACTGGTCAGGATCCAGAGATCCATACAAAAATCATATCATTTTCCCATCTCAACCCTAACAACACCCACCCCATGGACTATATTTTCCACTTTGGTGTTACAAACACCAAAATATAGACACACGCACAAAAAATACAAAATGTGAAATGTAATCTACACATTTTCTTCATAAAAAAATATTTATTAGTTTGAACATTGAATTAAAAAAAAGTCACATAAAAACAAACAAAAAACAAAAAATTTCAATACATACGTCTTTTCCCTCCATGCCTCCTGAGACGGATGTGTTCATCTGGATCTCTAGAATTCCACTTTCCAATTGGAAACTGAGCCAGAACAAACCCCTGCCACATGGCGAACACTTGGAAGGTGGTGGGACCAGAACTGGGACCCTCAGTTTTCTGGTACAGTACTGGTTTTAAGGAAGTGCCCTGTGTACCAACAGGGAACCCCAGAAAGGCCAGCAAAGGCAGTCTGGAAGGGGGGGCCAGTCAGAGCAAGACACCCTGAGAGTGGAGGTACAGGCGCCTTGAGAGGTGGGCCAGGGGTCCTGGGTCCTGGGCAGGGCAGCCTGAGAAGTAGGGACTGATACAAAAACCCAGAGACAGTGGTAGCAAAGGTCTAGTTTCCAAATGCATTTCATAAGAAAGTGTTTAGAAAAGGCATTTTAAAAGAGGGAGGAAGGTACTAAGTCTGAGAGCCCTCAAGGGGTCTGGCAAGGCTAGACGGTCTCAACTTAAAAAGTTTGTTGGCAAAAGGGGGTCTAGCTATGTTGCCCTGCTGGGCAGAAATGTACTCCAGAACCAGCATGCCTCAGAGGGAGAGGGCAGTGAGTAGAGGGACACACAGCTTCCAGACAACAGTTCCTACACTCCGTATAGTCTGTTCCTATACTCTGTATAGGCTCTGACCCTCTTGACTGTTGTTTTGTTTAAAACAATAAAACCTGTGATTCCTTCCTTCTGTAGGCCAGTCTTGCACCCTTCTGTAGCTCAGGCAGCTGGTACTTGGGGAATGTCACCAGGTGACATATGCTCTGTATAACCATTGGAACCTAAATTAGTTTTATGGGGGGGGGCTTCCTCTTACTTACCTAGAGAGAACAGATGTGCCAGTTTAAAGAGGGGGGGGGCTAAAAGCCATTTAACTTAGTGTTTGAGAAAGGAAAACCAAAATTCTCTAATTGGCCCTAATGTTTAGTAGCCTGATGAGCCCTTGCAACAGGGTGGGGGTTAGCACATTGGCACCTCACCAGAATGCTCACTGAACACCATTGCAGTGGGCCTTTGGGAGATGAGGTGGGTGAGGGATGGAATGTCTTGATAGTCTGTCAGAAATGGCCCCCAAGAAGAGGTAAGTTGCAGCATTTGTATCTACTCTGCAGGTTAAGTGGATAGCTGCTTCTGGGCCTCAGAGCCATGGGAATGAAGCCTACATTTTTCACAGAACAAGTGTGAGAGCCTTTAGAAATACAGAAAGAGGACTTGATGAACAGCTAAATAAAACCACTCCCGTAGAGTCCTGTCAAGTGAGAAAAACAATTCAAAATAAAGTAACCTGTAGTAACCACCTGAAAATGTCTCTGACATCTTTAAAATTTGGTTCCTAGGCAGGGAGACATCAGCAGCACACTGCAGCTAGGAACACCCACCTCCAGTGTTAGCAGCAACAAAGGCAGGAGCTTGAGCTCTATCTGGTTGAAGGAGGGGTCAGCAAGGGTGCAGACAGAACTCGGGGTGCACAATGGGGCTCTCCAAGAAAGTGCACACAGATCAGAGAGCTGTGGCTGGCCCTTGCAGCTCAACCCTGTGGGCCAGGAAGGGGGAAGCATGCAGCCACAGGTCTCCTCTTGAAGAGCCTTCTTCCTCTTTCCTGCCAGTTGGGTAGCTGCTTCCAACAGAGAGAGCACCTGGAGCCTAGAGCTTCCAGAGAGGCCATTTTGTGTAAAGCACCAAAGCCTGGAGGTAAGAGGGTTTCAGGGCTTTATACCACTAGGTTCTACCAGCTGCCACCGGGCAGCAGGAACCAGGAGGACAAAGTGACAGGGCCATAGCCCACAACCTGACTGCCGGAGGATGGGGATGGAGGGAGACTGAGCAATGCTGTGGATGGAGCAGTTTGTATTTATGCAAAACTCAACACCTACTCAGACCTGTGGGCTGGGGGATTGCCCTCATGACCCTAACTAGTACTGACCCTGACCTGGCCAGTCGTCTTGCATTCCTAGCCAGGTTCACAGCAAAGGGCTCCTTTGATACCCTGAGGAAGCATGCCCAGGCCTTGGTGCAGCCCTGCCCAAACTTCTAGACACACCTGCTGGGGACTCCATTAATACCTGGACAGGTGGGAGTAGGCATTCTCCCTTTTCCTAAACCCACACTGTACCCCTCACTTGGTGTTCGGTCCTAGTGCCCCCCAGTCACTGGAGCCGCACCCACTTCTTAGCTCATAGGACCAGTTTCTGCAAGGGGAGAGGGTTATAGCACAGAAGGGCCTGTAGGAAGAGCTTCAAGGATTCAGCAGGGCCCTGCTCCTGGGTAAGTAAAGACCCACTAAGACACACACAGGTGGACAAAGCGATTCAGCCACCACCCACCCTGCCCACCAGAGCAGAGCCCCTAGGAGATCCAGGCAAAGTCTTTATCGGGTTCCCCAGATGGGCTGTGGGGCCCCTGTGGAGAGTCTTCGTCATCCTTGTCATCTCCCAGCAGTGCGTCCTCATGTGTCAAGCCCACATCGTCCTTCCATTTGGCCACATCCTCGTCTTCATCCTCTCCTAGCTCCTCCTCACCTTCTCCTCGTGGATCATCAGGGTCTTCCAGGTATGGCCCTTCACCAGCAAACAGTGCCTCAGGGGAGCCCTCACCGCCTCCACCGTGGTCCAGTGGTGTGCCCACACCCCGGCCAGCACAGTCTGCACATACGCCATGGCGGCGAGAACCATGCTTAATGCCCACACTGGCTGCAGACATGAACACACGGCTGCACACCTTGCACACGTACTTCTTGTCCTTGCTGTGGACCTGGAGGGACAGAGCAGTCAGTGCAGGGTGTATTGGGGAGAGGAGCACAAGCTTTACTAGGCCAGGGCAGACACAGGAGGGACAGTCTCTGTCGGGGAAAGGAGGTAACACATCTATCTGGAGCCAACACTGGCAATATCTATAGAGGCAGCAAGTCATCCCGTCCTAAGGAGATGCTATAAGCACCAGGATAAACAGTGCCACGCCCCCAGCTACAAAGTGGGCTGGTCCCAGCATATCCATATCCAAGTACTTCCACTCACTGGTATGTAGGTACACTTCTCACTTGGGTGTATTACTCCCTGTGCCTTAAGTACCCTTCCTATGGACTTCCCTACAGGGCAGGCTGAGGGGCTCCTATCAGATCCCTAGAGCAGTCCTGGGGCCCAGTTGCCATTAGCCCTGTACAGGCATAGCAGGCCTAGAAGCCCAGGTGATGCAGAGTTAAGGAACACAACACTGTGCACCTGTGTACACAGGACAGGGAGCCCATACACAGCTGTGGTTGGAAGCTGCAAGTGGAATCTGCCTTCCAGGAAGCCCAGTCTAGCTTGGTGAGTTGGGCAGCATGAGACCCACAAGTGAGGAGTAGAGGGAGAGGGGTCAGCATGGAGTCCCCCGAGATGGCAGGTAACTGGAGCCTGACAGCAGGGCAACGGACTTGATCCCTAGCATGGCTGTTATGTACCTGGATCCAATGAAAAGGGGAGACTCCTGTCCTGACCTCTCAACTGAAATACAAGGACAGAGGCTAGTAATAAGGGTCTGCGGAGGAGACATGGCAACCAGGGAGGGACAGTAGCAGTGCCCTGCCTATTGCAATACTTGGTAGGAAGACACAGTACTCAGTAGAGGGGCCTTGAAAGTATATCACACAAAATCCTGGAACTCCTGGAGGGGCCTGGGCCTGAGGAAGTATGTGCAGGAACCAGTGTACTCTGTAGAAAGTTGGCCTGTGCAGAATTGCCTTCCGGGAGATGGGCAAGGACAAGGTAAATGGTATTTGTGGAATATCCATAGGCATTCTCAGCCTGCCTAGCTCCACTTTGACTCCTTGCATCTCAGATCTGACCCTAGGTTTCAAAAATGGA